ATCATCGTATCAGCCAAAAATATAGCTTACTCTGGCTTTTATAATAGACCAGTTATATAGTTATTACGTCATCATTTTCACTTCGTATCATCGTATCATCGTATCAGCCAAAAATATAGCTTACCCTGGCTTTTATAATAGATCAGTTATATAGTTATTACGTCATCATTTTCACTTCGTATCATCGTATCAGCCAAAAATATAGCTTACTCTGGCTTTTATAATAGACCAGTTATATAGTTATTACGTCATCATTTTCACTTCGTATCATCGTATCATCGTATCAGCCAAAAATATAGCTTACCCTGGCTTTTATAATAGATCAGTTATATAGTTATTACGTCATCATTTTCACTTCGTATCATCGTATCAGCCAAAAATATAGCTTACTCTGGCTTTTATAATAGACCAGTTATATAGTTATTACGTCATCATTTTCACTTCGTATCATCGTATCATCGTATCAGCCAAAAATATAGCTTACCCTGGCTTTTATAATAGATCAGTTATATAGTTATTACGTCATCATTTTCACTTCGTATCATCGTATCAGCCAAAAATATAGCTTACTCTGGCTTTTATAATAGACCAGTTATATAGTTATTACGTCATCATTTTCACTTCGTATCATCGTATCATCGTATCAGCCAAAAATATAGCTTACCCTGGCTTTTATAATAGATCAGTTATATAGTTATTACGTCATCATTTTCACTTCGTATCATCGTATCAGCCAAAAATATAGCTTACTCAGGCTTTTATAATAGATCAGTTATATAGTTTTACGTCATCATTTTCACTTCGTATCATCGTATCATGATAACAAGTGATGTCTTCAAAAGTATATCTTCGTCTATAATGTCAAACTTAAGACAAATCATGCACCGTTCTAAACAACTATTTACATAAATTACTCAAAATGACCATACTTCAACAGCTATTACGACTAACATATTCATGCGTATATTTTTATACTTTTAACATGATTATAAGACAGCAATGCTTCTGTAATTACTGGATAATAACGTTAAACTTACCCGGAAACTGCCCGAGAATGTTAATTCACTTTTATTGTTTCTTCTTTTCTTCGATTTATGCTTTCTTTGACGATAAATAAGTTCTTTTGAAATCGCTTCTTATATTTTCTTGACTGCATTGGCATTTGGCAGCATGGCGTGTTCATGACGTAACAGGAAGTGATTAAGGTGGCTCCCTACAGTTTTAGGTCTGTGTCGTGGAAAGTTTGTCCACGCGCGAGATTAGTAGTCCTACACGCAACACGCGTGGTCTACGTTGCACGCGTGGCGAGTTTTTCAAAATTGCGCCGTGATATAAAAGCGCGGGCCTTGTCGGCTGGTCGCGCGAAGAAATTGAAATCCTGATTTTTGTGACGTCACATAGATAAAAATAAATCTATTTTCTCGTGTTAATTCCTTCGGTAAAATTTTTTAAAACTTCACACACTTTCCTGTAATCTTGAAGTGTGTAAAATGTGCAAGTTTTAAGAAAATGGTACGAGCCGAATTTTTTTTATTCCAAAAACAGATGACGATTTTTTTTTTAATGCTATCATTTGAAGGAATTATAGATAAAATTACTGTGTGCAAAAAACGATGAAATTCTCGTGACATCTTTTCTCCATAAATCGAAACTTATTGACTTGGTTATTTTAGATCAAAGATGGTTGAAATTTCCGGGTTTTCCAAACTAGCCAAAGTACGTCTTGTGAATCGCCTATTTAAATATGGTCCTACTTTCTTTATAAATGTAGATATGCATAATT